CTCCCATCGAATATGTTAGTTTCCTGCTTACCGCGTAAACAACCCGCTCAACAATATAGTCTGCCTGGCAACTGATGATGTTAGCCAATCAGCTTGCCTTGCTTACTTTAACATGATTGGACACTGTACCCGTATATATACCGGTGCCACCCCTGGGCGGAAGTAGAAGCCAGGTAGAAGCCCGGAAGTAGAAGCCCAAAAGGAGCCGCGGAGAGCGGACCGGTAGAGGCTTTGGGGCAGGCTGAAGCACAAAAGGAGCCGCGGGGAGCGGACCAAAGGAGGCTTCAGCTGGGAGAACCCAGGGCAGGCTGTACGGAGAAGAAGAATAAAAAGAAAAGGTTGTCCACTACCAGACTGTGTCGTGTGTCCTTCCTGCCGGCCGGGAGCGGACATCGACACTCCTGTTGCTGTGGGGTCTCCTGGAGGAGCGTGCCACGCTGCTTCTCTGATGTGAACTTGGCTGTTCTCATCATTGGAGGAGCTTGGGACCTCATCACTGAGGATGGTGTGGGACTTTTCAGGGGAGCTCTGGTTCTTACTTTGATGACACTTCTTGGCTCCAGTGCAAAACACTCTACCCACTGGCACAGCTCCTTCACCCCATAGGCACAGGCTTTCCAGCTCCACGCTGACCTTTGGGCCTTTCCAGCACAGATCCATGAAATAGACTTGCATGAATCATTACCGTGGGCTCTGGGTTTCCAGCGGGATTCATTTAGGACACGGCTGTGGGATTCAGGCCCTCAGCTGGATTCGTTGAGGTCTTTAGTGTGTGGACAGATTTCCTGCACTTTATTTTTGCACTTGACATTTTGGGTGACGATCATAAAGTAATACTATAATTATGTGTCCGGTATCAAATTGTTTTCCTTGCAAACCCTGACCACAGCAAACTGCTCTCGCTCCCAAATTGTCCTCACTCCATTTCCTGTTCAACCCTGCAGCTTCCTGGTATGACCCTGGGGACAGGCCAGGCCTCTGTTTCTAAGGACCTCTTCCTTTATGGTCATCACCAGGCCTGCTTAAACAAATTCCGGTGTATCTTAGAATCAGCCCTGTCCTCACAACAGAATATTATTCAGCCATTCCAAGTGATGGGTTTAAAAATGTTTTTTCTTTTAAAGAGAATAAAACAGAATAAAACCAATGAAAATAAACCAGTGTAAAAGATACAGGACTTCAAAACGAATCAACAATAGTTACCTAACAATAATGCCTTTTGATGTCTTCAAATAACTTCAGACATAGTAAAAATCAAGCAGAATGGAATATAATAAAAAGAAAACAATCAATGCAGTACAGGATTTCCAAACAAAAGCCTATAGTAAACCCAAAATTGCTACCATAGTATATCATGCTATTGTTGAATCAGCTGCTCCTGCCATCAGATTTGACATAAAGAAAACAAAAGAGAATAAAAACCAACCCAACAAAACAATGGAAACGATACAGGACCTCAAAACAAGACCATAGGGAATCAGCCCTCAGAAAGACTGATCCCCCCTAGATGCCACACTGGGCACCCCATCCTCAGACCACTGGCCCTACACCTGCCATGTTAGTGAAACACCAAACACCACAGGCATCCGATTGCATCTCACCTCCATGGCTGTCTTCACGGCCTGTTTCTCTGGGTAAGCCTGTTGTGGGGTGGGGGAATTAGTACTTCTTGTTTGCCAGCCCATGTGCTGGAAGGGGCTGGGTCTGTTTCTGTCCACCGGCAGCCTCCTCATGGCACGGGTGCCCAGACTGGGCTTGCTGGCTGGTGCGGCTTTGTTCTCTCTTCCCCCGGCCTGCAAATGGCGCTGACTCACGGCGGGAGGCTGGGGTCTTCCAAGTGATAGACTGACATATCCTGAAACATCAATGAACGTAGATAACAGTGTGCCTAGTGACATAAGCCAGACACAAAAGAAAAAAGTTGGGTTCCACTCATATGGAATATCTACAATAGGTGAATTCATAGGGAAGGAAAGCAGGCTAGAGCTCATGAGGACCAGGGGTTGGGGGGAAGAAATGGGAACTGCTGTCTGTAGTTTCTGCTCACTGTAATGAATAATCTTGGCACTTAGGAGGGATGGTCGCACAAACTATAAATGTAACTCATGTCACTCATTTGTATAATTAGAGTGGTTTCGGTGGCAAACAGTTTATATATTTATCGCAGTAAAAAGAAGTAAATTATTTGTTACTAAAAACACAATTCACAACAGACATAAACAACCTAGGAGTAGATTTTAGAAGCCCCAAACTAAATATTATGAAGAAAAATTGACCCGCCTAAATGGAGCGATGAGGATGTTGGTAGACTGTAAAATCAATATTGTGAGGATGTCACTTGTCTCATAAATTCCGTGCAAACCCAGTGCAGGGCCCCAGAAGGCCCTGCTGTTACTGATGTTAGCTTGACGTACTGATTTTAAATCTGTAGGAAAATGCCAAGCATCAAGAACACGAAAGGCAAGACCGAAGATCATCACAGCCGAAGCTCTCAGAGGCAGGCGGCGTGTTGGGTAAGGGTCATGAAGGCGGCGTGGCATTGTCATGAGGTGATAAATTTGTAAACAAAATAAGTAATTGCAGATAAGTGCTGCCAAGGAAACCCACACTTTTTTTTTTTCATTTTTTATTTGGAAATGCTTTCAAACTTTCAGAAAAATTTCAAGAGTAACAGTAAAGAACGCCCCCAGGCCTGTTACTGGGCTGAATGGCAGCCCTGCCTAACTCCAGGTGTCTCCCTCAGAATGTGACCAGCCTTCGAGAGAGCCCTATGGAGGTAACTCAGTTAGAAAGAGGTCACAGGGTTGACCCTGCTGCCATCTGAATGGCGTTATGAGAAGTGTAGGTCAGAGCATACAAGACCGGCTGAAGACAGTGACGCCAGCCACGGAGAGGCTTTGGAAGAAACCCATCAGACTGGCCAGCGGGAGCCCTGCTGGCTGGCTCCCGTGCCCTAGACCCTGCGGGGAGAGTGAGTTACTGAGTAGTCCCGGCAGGGTGAGGCGGTACCCACTCATGATCCCAGCGTGTTGGAGGATGAAGCAGGTGAATCACGTTTGAACTCAGCCTGGCAACTTGGTGATCTATCAACACGTTGTTGCAAAATTTTAAAAAAGGGCGAGGGATGTAGCTCAGTGTAGAAGTTCAATTGCAAGAAAAAACAAGCTGTCAGGGCAGGGCAGGCCTGGTGTGGCGGGCTAGAACAGAGGAGCGAGGTTACTAATGGCCTGTGTCTCGAGGCATGAGAACCAGCGGGCCTTGTGCAGCATGGCATGTGGACGGGGAAGCAATGGTCATTACAGGGAACCAACCAGGCCCCTGAATTTCAGTGATGCCGAAATGGTGCGGTGGGGGATGTGGGTGGATCAAGCCGCGCTGCCTTCACAGCCGGATCCATCCAAGTGGAGGAGTCAAGGTTGGCAATGAAGGGAAGAGTGTAACCCAGGGCCGAGGCCGAGGGACCTCACCACGCAGGGGTCATGAAGTGGGCCGAGAACGGAGGGTCGGTGTGACATCAGGGATGCCGATGGGAGTGTGTTCCAGACAGAAAGCAGTGGTCAGCGGGGCTGGAGCCTGCAGAGCGGGAAGGGGCCCAGTGCCAGGGTGCCGGGTGCCAGGCGGTGATGGCGCTGCGTGTCTGGTGTGCTGGTCAAGAGTGAGTGGAAACTGAAAGGGATCAAGGAGGGGACAGCTCTACTGCAAGTGGGCAACAGGGCCCAGAAACAGGTTGGGAATGAAACCTAAATACAAAAGACGCAGGATACTGGAGCGTGTTCAAAGAGAGAAGGGAAAGACTGAGACCCATGGTTAGGACAGAGGGGCTCACTAAGCTCTTCTGCCCTCGGGGTTCCTTTTCTTTAAAAAGTATCAAGGAGGCCCAAGAACGTTTGTTTATGTTGGTTATACCCATCAGTATTTGCCATATGATAAAATCAAAATGAGTAGGTAAAACTAATACAAACAATGAAAAATTACACTTTGCAGAACAAAGTTACTGAAAAGATCTTTGTAAAGCTCTTCGGTATCTGGCCTAGTGGAAGACCGCTGGTTTCTCACATCGTTTTGCATTTAGTCCACGCAGCACCACACTGAGCTGCGGAACCACCCTGCACACTCCTGAGAGAATCAGAGTGAAAGGTGAGTGATGTTGTAGCATTATGAACGCTGACTGCATCCCCGCAGAGAAAGTGGCCGAGAACCACCCCCCACCCCCAGGTTCCCAGAGAATTGCTATGCTCGTAGGCAGAAATCTCAAGAGAAGACAGACGGAAAAAAGACATCTAACAGCTTAGGTTCTGGCAAAGGGACTTGCTCTGAGTCAGCGGCCGTAGAGACTATGATGACCCCAGACGTTGCTTGTTGGGCTCCCACGGGGCCCGGTGACTGAAGCCCACAGCGCCCGTCTCTAGGGAGCTGTCTCCTCTAGCACACAGAGCTCGGAAAACAAGCGGAAATCGCCATCCGCTGGACAATGCATGCCTAGGAGGTCCAACACGTGGTCAGGGCTTCACATTTATCCCATTCAACCTAACCAGCACCCTGCGGGCACGTTTCGGGTCCTGGCATCCCAGGTCCTTTTGCTAAGTTGCAATCCTGCAGCCTCAGAGACCCACGGTGCTGACGTGAGCCACCATGCTTAATTTTCTGCCGAGAAGCGCTGGCCACGTTGCCCTAAGGAATTTGTTGGAACCGGAACTCAGCCTGCGCTGTTCCCGCTCCCGCTCCCGCTCCCGCTCCCGCTCCCGCTCCCGCTCCCGCTCCCGCTCCCGCTCCCGCTCCCGCTCCCGCTCCCGCTCCCGCTCCCGCTCCCGCTCCCGCTCCCGCTCCCGCTCCCGCTCCCTCTTGGAAGGACTTCCGGCGGAAGTTCCTCTGTGGGCGGAACCACTGGCCTGGAACCGCCCCTTTCCAGCCAAAAAAAAAAAAAAAAACCACTCCCTGCAGTTTAGCCAATGGAAGTCCATGTTATTAGCAGGGGCCGAGACCTGTTGTCCAATCGGTGGCTGAGCTCGTCGCTCGGGCAACAGCGTCCTGGAGACCCAAATGGGCTGGGCCTCTGAGGCCCAGCGGCAAGGGTCCGCGCGCGGGTGTAGACCGAGCGAGACTGGGACTTTGAGCCGGGCCCGGGTAAGGCGACAAGGGCCTCGGTGCACGGCCCCCGCGCGCATTCGGGGCAGCGGCGCGCGAACCCAAGGGCCGAGGAGCGGTCAGCTTCACTGCTTGCAGGGTCCTACATCCCTGAGATCGCCCAGCGCTGCAGACCGCTCCGCAGTCTCCGGGAGGGGAATCAGTCCACCCAGCACGGTTCTGGAGCATCAGCACGTGGGGCTCAGGGACTACTGTGACTAGTGCTTTCCTCGTTCCCATGGAGCTTAATGATCCGTGGGAAAGTGACAATATAAACAGCACGGAACATGGCGATACCTCCCTCCTCCCAGAATTCCTTTGATGAGCGGATGGGAAATGTGTGCCTTAAACCTCTCCGGTTTACGAAATGTTTCGTGCCCCATGCTTGTCCGTCGCCCACTGCAATCTCGTGAATGACATTAACCCCATCTTACAGATGAGGAGACGGGACTTGTCCTGTGTCACACAACTGACGAGTCGCAAAGCCAGAATTCAAACTCACTTCTGTCTCATAGAAACAAATCTCTGCTCGTTTACACCCTGCTCCCCAGTGTTACACGGTTATCCCTGACTTTCTCAGACGTTGTTTTGGAAGTACCTTGTGTGTTGCGTGGTTTCAGGCTTACTTAAGGCTGGTGTCCAAAACACTTCTTCGCTTTTCTTTTTTTGCTGAAAAATTTTTGCCTTCCCATGCGTCTTCGGGAAGATTAATAGTGTTTCTTACCGTGTATATGTGCCCCTTAAGGGATGGACTCGTAGAAATGCTGTAAATAAATTTCACTTTTACACACTGCAGTTCCTCCCTCTTTTTCTTTTATACATGATGTTCTCTCTTGCCGCCCCCTTCTTCCTTATGCACAGAGCTCTCTGAGGCAGTGTCCAGGCTGGGATTCTCACAGCGAGCAGCACCTGGAAGACGGAACCAGCTCCTCGAAGATCGCTAATACCCAGATGCGTGCCCAGCCCAGGGAGCTGGCGTCCACAAGGCAGTTGCTTTAGTACAGCTTCTCCGGTGTGCATCCAGAGTGGTCGCTGAAGGGTTTAGGTGCTGGGAATCTCCGGTAGGTTTCTTGGATACCTGCTTTCTCTGTTAGGATTGAAAACTAAGCTGCTGAGTGTCAATGAGAGACTGTAACCAAAGAAGCCAACCATCTCTTTCTTTCTTTAAACGCTACAAGTGATCTTTTTGGAAAGTATAATACAATCTTGGTTTTAGAGCATAATTCTTTCCAGAAACATGCTTGTAATCCAAAACTCTTGTGCATCAAAGTGAATTTCCCCTACGAAATGATGGAAACTCAGATGATTCCTTCCACAATCTAAAAATAGTCAGGTATAAATGATTACAATGCTGTAATATAATGCAAAATTATAAAGAACAAACAAATATAAAGGAAAATAAACAAATGAACCTGCACTTACCTTTGAAAAGCCTTCACAGCTGCTGCGAGGGAGACAAGGAGAGGAGGGTCGCTGTGCAGATGACTTTCACCCTGCTTTCTGCTGGCTCAGTGGAGTCTTCTATTTTTTCATTATTTTTTATTTTTTCTTGCAACCGTAGCAAGGACCCTATCCAGTGACACTTGCATTTGCTTCCTTCTGGGGATTTCACAGAAGTGTGACATTGTATTATCGTTAGTTAGTCATTGCTTGCACTGTGACAACCTTAATTGGTGGTAATTTTCTACCAAATTTTGCACTGTTTCCCACATTTTACACATCTCTCTGAGCTCATCTGAAGTGCAGGGCTCCTCTGCCTTTTTCTCTTCCTCCTCTGCAGATCTCCGTAAGCTCCTGCTGCTGGAGTCATTACCCACAATACCGGGGAGTGAGAGAAACTTTTTTTTTTTTGTCTTTTTCCTTTTTATCGGTACCGAGGATTGAACTCACGACTGCCTGCTTGCAAGGCAGACGCTTATGCCGCTGAGCTAAATCCCCAGCCCCTAGAAACTTTGGCTCAACTAGGATGAGGTGACATTTGGTGTCACGCATTACTGGTACTGCAAGACATGGCTCGTGGCTCAAGTTAAAATTAATGAGAAATGTTTGCTTGTCTTGTGGAACAACCACAGAACAAATTAAGTCCAAATTTATCTAAAAATACCACATCTCTTAGCTTACCTAATTGTATCAATTGGGTTGAAACCCTAGTACTGTATTTAAATATTAACTTATTTTCAATATAATATTCTCCAGGTTGCCGTCACTATTTGGAAGATCAGTGTAAAGGGAAGGACAGAGTCTGGGGAAACTCTGTAGTAGCAAGTGCAAGGTTTTAAGTTCGATCCCCGTTACCAACCAACAGAAAGAAAAAAGTCTGAATACAGATGATGAGAATGTGGTCTTGACTCCGCACTCCTCTCTTGGCTTGGCCCTCTCACTGCTGCTTTGTTTTACTTTGTTTTGGGTGTCACTGGTCATTTGTCCTCACCCATCCCCGTGGCTTACCGCTGTTACTATGACTGTTACTGCCAGCTCCGCGTACTGTGTTGTTGGCACATCTGGAGCTGCACGTTCCCACTCTTATTTTTTCTTGACTACCTGCTTTTGAAAAAGCACACTTACCATTTCCATTTTTGGGGGGGTCAGTATTGGGGAATGAACCCAGGGCCTTCACACTGAATTAACTCCCTGTCCTTTTAAAAGCTTTAAAGTTTGGAGTCAGAGTCTTGCAAAGGTGCTGAGTTGCCTCAGGTGGGCTCGGACTCACCTCCAACATGCTGGGGTGACAGGCCTGCTCCCCTGTGCCTGGCTGGGAGTCCTAGTTTTCAGGGACGCGGGCTTTGAAGAACTGCTAAATGGCACAATGTGGCTTCTATCCTAGGACTCCTGGTAGTGGAACCCGTGTCTTTTTTTTTTTTGTCTTTTTGAGACAGGGTCTCCCTATGCAGTTCAGGCTGGCCTTGAGCTCACTTTGTAGCCCAGGCTGGTCTTGAACTCACTTCGATCCTCCTGCCTCAGCCTCCCGAGTGCTGGGATTACAGGTGTGAGCCCCCACACCCAGCTGGGAACCCATGTTCTTGATTCATTTTCTGCTACTCTCTGACGATTGTATACTCTGTAACTCTTGCCAAAGCTTTTGGATAGTTTGTAAGAGGCCCACAGTAAGGTAAAATCAAAATGTAAGTCATGGAAAGCACAGATACAGTAGGAAAACAACATCAGAGGAAGGTGAATACTCAGAATATCCACAGTGACCAGTAAGTTAAGCTGCAGATTTAATTGTGAGCTTCTTGTCAACAGGTGGAAACATAAAATTAAAAACGCCAAGAAATTGGATTTTTCTTTTCTTTTCTTTTCTTTTTTTGTTCTAAGCAAAAAAGGCCTTTTTAATTTCTTAAAAAAATGAAAATAGAGCTTTGCTAATACTAGGTCTGAGCAGAGGTTCTCATGGGGTTCACTGCAGGCTGGGGAGGGCCTAGAGCCACGGTTGGGCGTGAAAGTGTGGACTTGCTGTCCTTACTGTCTGGGGGAGAGTGTGGGCAATCGCATTTGAAAGGAAGCATCTCTGAGTAATACCAGTTTGCAGCCACACTTTTTGACAGCTTTTTGCCCGGGGGCGGTGTGAATGGTGCTGCCCTGTCCCCTGGTTGGCCTCGGTCTTTGCTCACTTACCCAGCAGAGATTCATAGAGCCCCCACCTTACACAGGCCTCGCCAGGCACCGAGGACGCCAAAGCCGTGGGCGCCTGCCCGTCTCGACGTTCTGGGTGCCTCTGTCCTGTCCTGCAGGGCTTTCCCAGCCGATCTTTGGTTCTTTGCGAGTTCCCTTTGATCCCTTGAGCTATCACATAGATCGTCCGTCTGTAAGTGCTTCTCTGCCCTGTGTTCTGTCTTAATGTCCATCTGTACGTCCCCAGGAGCTGAGCATAGCAACACCTGTCAAATGGTGAATGCCGAGCCAGGGGGGGGGCGTTGCACAGCTGTAACCCCAGCTACGGGTGGGGTGAGGCAGGAGGACGGCAAGTTTGAGGCCAGCTGGGCAACTTAGCAAGACCATATCCCAAAATAAAGACAAAACAAAATAACAGACAGCTCCGTGATAGAGTGCTTGTCTGGCGTGCGCTAGGTTCTGGGTTCCACTCCTAGCACCCGGAAAGCAAACTCTTACCCGAGTGCCGGGTGCCTGTGACCCTGCCTTGACAGCAGTGATCGTAACCACTTCCGTTCTTGCAATCATTTCATGCAGTGTCACGTCCAGTCTCCCAGCATCTGCAGATCCCCAAAAGCAGGCCCAAGGACCTGGGCCTTCGGTCCCGGGTACAGAGACCTGCTCTAAGAGAGGTTTTATTCTGTGTTTGCACATGTGGAAAGTGGGTCCCCAGGTGGCTAATTCTCTTTCAGGTTTCCACAGTAGTCAGTCAGGCCCCCCTGACCTCGCACTCCTGGTTTTTTGCGTTGTCCAAAAGTAAACACAGGAAGCGGATGATTGAGGGTGTGTGCGTGGACGCACGTGGGACCTTCAGAGGGAACTTTACAGTGTGTGCACCCCCAAACAGAGCAGAACAGAACAGAACCCACTTGGTTAGCAGAGCTAATCAAGTGTTTGGATCTCACTACAGAATCTTTGTGTCGCTTACAATTTTTGTCCGGCGTAGTGAAGTGCTAATCCCCCGCCCCAACCCGGAGGAACCAGTTCCAACAATGTTCGCTTTTGGTGCCATGTCTGTTTGGCTGTGCACATTTTTCACTCTCGTGCTGGATTATGTTTTCTCTGCATGCCAAGGCAGATGGATGGCACTTTTGTTATGATTCTGATATAAATAGCATCTGTTAAAAACTGGACATCAATGTTTCCCTGGCAAATAAACAAATGTATCAGGGAACCAGCTTGCTGGTTGTGTTTTTGCCTGTGGTTAAGAAGCAGATCTCAAAGTCTGTGCTTTTGCTTATTTAGGGGGAGGGTTTTTAGTCTGATGACTGTTACTAATTTCTGCCGCACCGAGTTTTGAAGTAATCTCCTTTGTTAGCATCTCAGAATTCACTTTACTCCCAAAATTGGAGCTGTGCACCGCACACAGTCAGGGATGAGCACCATGTAGACTCCTCCCAGTGCTCCTGTCCCGAGCAGAGTGCTGTGAGCCTTCAGAATCGAAGGCCAAGCTGACCTGGCTTCCTGCCCCGTACTGCCAGGCGGTGATAACCTCAGTCCGCCAAGAGCAAAGCTGGGGGCTGGTGCGGTGCCTGCCTGGCATGCATGAGGCCTGGGTTCCACCCCAGCTCTGCAATGTTTTTTTTTTTAAAAGCAAAAATTAGCAGAGTGCTTACTGTGTGCCAGGCCATGCTGGCTGTGAAGTTAGTGGGGCCACATCCCTTGAGAGGCTAGGAACCAGCAGGGACCAAAGACAATTCTGGAAACAGAGAATCGGAGGGAAAATCGGGTAGATGATGATGAGGTACCAGCATCTCTGCCCCTCAGCAGAGTGATACAGTTGCAGGCACCCTTGATCTTTTGGCCCTTTTCTTTATTAAGTGAAACCATGAGCCAATGCTCCGCTAGGACGAGGGTCTCTGTGATGCCCGGATTAACTGTGCCTGGAGGTTAGGAAGGTCGGGTGGAGGGGGATGGTGCTTCACTCTTTTTTTGGTCTTTTTGAGACAGGGTCTCACTATGCAGTTCAGGCTGGCTTTGAACTCACTTTGTAGCCCAGGCTGGTCTTGAACTTGAAAAAGAACCTTCCTGCCTCAGCCTCCCAAGTGCTGGGATTACATGTGATCCACTTTTAAAAGATGACTTGATGGTGCCAGCTGGGCCAGGGCGGGAAGCACAGCAGTGGCCAGGAGCTCCATGGCACCTGTGTCATGGGAACGTTCCTGGCTAGGTTGTTGGTGATGTAAACAATCCACTCCACAACCGAGAGTTTGAATGTCAGTTTGTATGTCCAGGAGTCTTGCATTAGGGAGTAAAGAAAACAAATTTTAACTTTTTGGTACTGGGACTCGAACTCAAGACCTTGTGCTTGCCAGGCAGGTGCTAAATCCTTAGCCCTGGGGAAATGTTTTAGATTCACACAAAAGTTGCAGAATAAGCTCAGAGAGTCCCCACGTACTCCCAGCTTCCCCCATCAGTACTGTCTCACAGAATAACCCGAGATGAGGATCAACACCGGGAACTCGGCCGGCCGCAGTGGTGCACGCCTGTAACCCGGGCACTCTGCAAATGCGAGGCCAGCTTGGGCCGCAAATCGAGTTCAAGGCCAGCCTGGGCTACACAGTGAGACCTGGTCTTAAAAACAAAACCAAACAAGACTGAGAATTAAACGCTGGTGTGATGTCAGTTTAACTAAAGCCAATCAGCCGATGCCGATGAGAATAAAAACTAATTCGTATTTTACCAGTTTCCACGCACACTCCTCTCCCTCCTTGTGTGCAGTCCGGGAAGTGTGAACAGGTGTGTGTTAGGCAGTGTGCATTTTTCAGCGAGGGAGGGACACAACTGTCTGTGTTTCAGAAGCAGAGAAATCCTGGCCACAGAGGCAGGCGGAGCAGAGGGAGAGGGGAGCCCCTTCGTGCTGCAGGGGTGCGGAGATGGACGGAGGGAGGGTGGTGTCAGGGCTCTCGGAGCAGGGAATGGGCTCCTCAGAAGGAGGGCGGGTTGGCCAGGCTGCAGGGGCGGAAGCCGTTTCCTTCCTGGCCTTGCTTTAAACCTGAACCCATCACCGGCCCAGATGGGGCCCGGGAGGCGGTGATGGTGTGCACCCACCCAGCTCTGGACCGACTGAACCTGGGGGCTGTGAGGGCCGAGAAAGTCTGCTGTGACGGTGTGTGAGGCAGGCTGCATGGGGGTGTCCAGCTGGAAGAAGGGACACTGATCCTGAGACCCAGGCAGGAGCGCTCAGAGCTGTGTCCCCTGCAGTGTCCCCCGGAAATGTGTTGACCATGCAGATTCCCAGCCCCGCCCCACCCAGCATCAGATCAGAATCAGGACCTGGAGCTGGGCCAGCGCCCAGCATCTTGAGGCCACCAGGTCGGCCACTGGGATGCTCAACTCAGAGCCACTGACCGTTAGGATGAGGAGACATCCAGGAGGCAGAGAGGGAGCAGGAGAAGGGGCCCAGGCGGAGGTGATAGCGGAGAAAAGGACAGAAACGTGTGTGGGCAGGGGCCAGTCCTAGGGGCTGTCAGAGGCCTCGGGACCTGAGCGGAGGCAGTGGAGGAATGGGCCCTGCGGCTGCCCTCATGGAAAGGGCAGAGCCTGGGGTGACCAGCATTTTAAAAATGCTCATTCTGGCTGTGATGAGCAAGATAGAGGGGTAAGGGAGGTGTGTGTGTGTGTGCGTGCATGCGTGCGTGTGCACGTGTGCGCAGGGTGGAGAGTGGGACGGGGAGCACGTTCATGTGGTACTCACACCCACCCCAGGAACCCCAGTTAGTGTGCTGTGTGTGCAAAATGCACCTTTCTAAAGCACAGACAGCCGCGCTCCACCAGGACCCTGCCAACTGTCCAGTGTCCTGCACACTTACAGGACTTGTCCATTCCTGGGCTTGCGGGGTACCGTGGACACCCTGGATGCTTTGCCGGGCCGTGCTAAGCCCGGCGCTCTCTTATTTTGCAGAATTTTCTCCAAATCCCGAAATATTTTATTGTGAAGAAAAATGAAAAGAAATAGCAACAAAGAAAACAGTACCAAGTCGGGCAGCACCAAAGCACGGTGAGTTCGGGTGCCCGGGCCTGCGTGGCTCCGACAGAGCGCACCGCTGCAGGGCTGCAGGGGAAGCTGGCAGCGGCCCTGTCCCCCCTTCTAAAGGCCAACTCGGGCGAGTGGTCTGGAGCCCCCTGTGATCCTTCTCACCCTGCGGGTCACCAGGCGGGTTTCCTGCAGCCGATCCCCACTTCCTCCTGCAGGTGGCGGTCGCCGCCAGGCTTTCAGCTCCCTGCGCAGGCACCAGGAACCCTTGACACTTTGCTCTGCCAGCCCTGGGCCTGGCTGGGCCCCGGGACTACACATAGGACCTGCGAACCCCTGCTGTCACCCAGGGGCTGACATGGGCTCCACTTGCCTGTCTGCAGTCGGCGCCACAGGTGTGGCCGGGACCCCGAGTCCCCAGGCGGCTCCCCAAATGAGATTTCTCCCTTCACAGTGGGAGAAAGCATGCTACAAACAAAAACACAGCAGTGTTTTGTGTAGGGTCTGAAGAGCCCTCCTGATGGGACGCTGGCTTCCACTGTAGGGGGGAGCCATGAGGGGGAGGGGGCTCCTGCCCGACCATGGTGGGAAGGAGATGAACCCACAGCACAGGTGCAGAGTGTGTGTGTGTGTGTGTGTGTGTGTGTGTGTGTGTGTGTGTGGTTTTGCAGTGAGCACGGTGAGTGTGCGGTGCGTGTGTGGGCCGTGTGGTATCTGGGGTGTGTTACGGCCTGTGTGTGTGGCGAGCGTGTGCTGTGCATGGATGGCAGTGTGTGCGGTGTGGGTGAGGAGGTGCTGTGTGGGGTGTAGTGTTTGTGCTGAGGACGAGGTTTGGAGGACTTATGGCTGTGGGCTGTGTGTGTGTGTGTATAGGAGTGCGCTCTCAGCCCCAGGTCCCTGCTGGGCGCTCTGGGCTGCCCATGCATGGCAGGGTTCATGGCCCTTTTACAGTCTGGTTCACACTCCCAAGCAGGGGCGGAGTGAAAGGTGGAGGGGGCAGTGAGCGGGTCCCTGCCTGGGGGGTGAGCTCGGCCCCCGGAGGCTGAGACCTGTGGTGACGGCCAGCAGCACCTGGCCAGGAGCTGGGACGCAGAGCCAGCCGAGGAACTTTGAGACAGAAAGGACCAGTGTCTCCACCACCCAACAGGCTATTTTTGCTGTAGCTTCTGCATGTAACGTGCTGTATGTGGCAGCACATATTTATAACACTGTGGTTACACAGCCCCGCCAGGCCCGCTTTCTCTGTCTCTCTCTTTCTCTGTCTCTGTCTCTGTGTCTGTCTCTGGATTGAACCCAGGGCCTCACACTGGGCTACCTCCTTCACCTACCTATTTTTATTTTATTTTGAGACAGGGTTTCACTAGGTCATAAAGTTGCCCAGGCTGGGCTCAAACTTGTGATCCTCCTGCCTCGGCCTCCCGAGAGTGCTGGCATTATGGGGTGTGCCACCACACCCGGCCCCTTTCCTTCCTTACCCTGTCCAAAGTGCATTCCATATCTGCGCGTCCTTGTAATTGTCATCTGCCACCCACTGAGACGCGTTCACTCTGGGGGATGCTCTGTCTTTGAGTTTGGTCGAGTTTCCGGTGTGGGGTGTGTCCGGTGTGAGGATGGACTGGGAAGAGAGAAGCTGTGGAGCTGAGGTTCCAGAGGAAAGGGGGAGGTCACGCGGGCTGGGGACTCGGAGGAAGGTAACACTCAGGTCCTCAGGCTGCCAGCCTGCAGGCAGGCCCGTTGTCCCCACGATGTTCCTGCTAAGCTGACTTTGGATGCCTGGCTGAGCTGTCCCTTGCAATCATCTCTTGAAATCTGGCTTCTGATTCCTCGGCTTAGCTCCGTGGGCCAGCGGCTGCCATGCGCGTGGGGCGTTAGGCTGGATACGAGGCCAGTCGAGGCCCGGTGTTGGCCTATGAACCCTGGAATCCTAATAATTTGTGCAGATGGCTCGCTGCTAACTTCCTGTCTGTGCTCTGGACAAGGTTACAGAGTTACGGGGCGGTTTTGCAACTCCAGGTTATGCTTCTTGGGGACTGATACCAGGTTGTTCCTGTTTGCTTGTCAAAGATGTGCAGCTTCCTGCTCCTCCCTATTTATATAAGAGTGTGCACACACGTGTGTATGAAAGGGTGCATGTATGCACACACACACGCACACACACGCACATGCACACACGTACTGTGGCACAGCTGGTTAAAAAGCCTAGGATGAAATTCAGGAGTGCTTGCGCCTCAGCCTCTCTGTTACTTAGCTTGGCTTTGCTTTTCTGGAGCTTAATTTCCCCACCTCTGAGAATAAGGATAAGAACCGATGCTCACAGGGTATGGGGTGACAGATACCCGGAAGTAACAGCCAGCGGCTGGCGAGACAGGTTATCGCTGGCCCAATCCAGTCAAGTCGCCCTCCTGTGCTGTTTGCTGGCTTTTACTGCAGTGTTTCTCAAGTCTGGAGAATCCTCTTCTTACTTATGCTTAATTTTTATGAGTCCCTCTGAGATTGTGCTGCCATAAACAGAGGTCTGCATGGGTCACTGTAACGTGACGTCTTCAACACTCTCAGGAAGACACCTAGATACGGGCAGCTGAGCAACCGGGATGCGGGATGCGTAGTGTTAGTTTTTCAAGCCGTCGCCATGCTGGTTTCCAGGGCGGTCTCACATTCACGGCAACGATGTGAAAGCTTCCTCCCTGCCACAGCCTCTCCCGGCGTCTGTGATCATTTGATTTCCTGAGGCGTGCTCTTACTTTCTGGAGAAAGACAGAACCTGGGTGTTGTTTTAATCTGATTTTTGTATTGTTTTCAAATCAATTTTATTTCAAAGAAAAAAAATTTTAAAACACAACATGCAGGGGACAGCAGTGCGTACCGCGTCCCCAGATCAGTCACCTGGAGCCCAAGACTGAGCTGAATTCCTTCAGGGCCTTGGAAGCTGCTGGTTTCTCCCTGTATTTCTCAGCCGGTCCCTCTCTTTCTAAGCCTCTGGTCATTTCCGCTGCCCATGTTTTGCTTGGGTCTTTATTTGGGCATGTAATTCCTGAGCTTTCATATTTTCAAAACACAAGTCTTCTGTCTGAGAAGTAGTTGGCAAAACATTTTTTCCACCTCGTAGGTCGGGCCTCCGCCCTGCTGGGTGTTGCCCTGGCTCCGCAGAGGCTGATTTGATAGGATCCCTTTGGCAGATCGTTGGTGGTATTTCTTGTGCACCTGGGGCTCTGCTCAGAAAGTCCTCGCCTACCCCAGCGTCTTTAAGAGTGTCACCTGTTTCACCTTCCAGCAGACTGTTTCCGCTTTGGTGTGTCCTGGACGTGGTCAGTCCCTGGAGAGCGCACTTCACTGTGGCCTCAAGGGCAGAGCTTCGTCCTGTGGCCTCTTCAGACAGCACGTGGAGACTCCTGCCTGGCTGCTGGCTCCAGGCCTCTGAGGGGAACGGCAGCCCCCGCAGGGCCGGGCTCTGCGCCCTGCCTGGAGCTGGGCTGGGTGGCCTGAGGCCAGTCTTCCAGCCCAGGAGGGAGCCCGGCCTGCGGGCCTGGGGACTGCGCCTTGAGCTGTCTTGCTGTTTTAAAGCTACGCGCCTCCTTCAGCAGCCTCCTTAAGATTAATTTTAAGAACATGGTAGTAATTGCATTCATGAGGAAGGGTGTCACCAATAGTAAAAGTTTCCTGCTCCAGGAACCTGCCAGTGGGCAGAATTCCCCTGCAGCGGCTGGTCGGAGGGGGGTGCGGCCGTCACCTCCAGCACTTAATCATTTCAGTGTCTGAATACCCAAGATCCGCGCTGCCTGCCATGTTGAAATACACAGTTAACTGCCAACTGTCACGGCCTCCTGGGCCGGAGACCACCAGACAGGCCCCTGCCCTGTGATCCCACCCTGAGCATCCCTTTCTCCACCCCATCTCCCCAGCCGCTGCTCACTCTCTTCCCGGCTCTTCTGCAAAGGCAATGTCTTTTCTATTCTGGTACTAGAGACTGACCCCAGGGCGTTTGCCCTGAGCTGCATCCCCAACCTTTCAAATTGTGCATTTTGAGGCCTGGCTTGCTAAATCATTAAGTGCCAGGTGGGGCTTGAACTTGGCAACCCTCCTGCCTCAGCCTCCCAGAGATCCGCTCTCTAGCTCCCAGGAAACCCCGCATTCCTACATCTTCCGTCATATACTCTGCAAACACGCAGCTATGTTCTTCCAGACCCTGACTTACAGGGTGAGCTAGTGGGGGGTGGTCCCTGAGTCCCGCTCCTGTGGGTTCCAGGACCCCAGCCACGGCCCAACGCAAGCACAGCAGAGGGAACTGTTGCTTGGAAAATGCTTCCGGGCTGAGCACCCGGTGGTGTTCAGAGGAACTGCTTTCAGAGGAGATGATGATTTTTTCATGCTGTCTTCAACTAAGTGTTTGTTGAATTGAATCACTTTGAATTCAAGTAATAAAGAGCACCACGGGCAACCCATTTCCAGGTGATTATCTCACTCCTCAGGTGGGGTAATAAGGCGCAGGGCCAGCGCCCCAGCAGGCTGCGTGGTTATTAGGACGGGGATTTATGAGGAAAATGAGGGCACGGGTCCATGCAGCAGCAGTGAGCACAGCAAGGCCCGTGACGCTGACGCACATGCTGGGGCCGCGGGGGACCTCGGCTCCGCTCCTTCAGCAATGGCCACGCAGCCCTGGGCGGCCCTGGGTTCCTGCTGTCTTCAAGGACCGGCTTCATTTTGCACAAAGAACAGGGGAAGCCCTGGTCCTTGGCGGTCGTGGAGATGACTGTCCGGGAAGAAGAGCCTTCTCCTGGGCCAGGGAAAGGGGGCTGGGTCCCCTGCAGCCTTGCCCACCTGTACGAGGACAGCGTGGTCACTGATTGGGCAGCGGGGGAGGCCAGGGACAGGTTTTCATAAATCTTAAATGCAATTCAGAGCCAGGTGTGGTGGCTACAATCCCAGCACTGGGAGGCCGAAGCAGGAGGATCACTGAGCTTTTGAGGCCAGCCTGGACCACGGTGGGACCCCATTTTTTTAAAAAAAAGAAAAAGCAAGAGTCCCAC